CCTATGTTTGTAGATGCAAAAACTTTCTTACATGCTGCAAAAGAAAAATCACCTTCTGTCATTTATACAACACTTATTTCTAATAGGGCAAAGACTTCAAGTGGTATTCCAAGCTAATATTAGGATTTTTAAGATGTATTTGAGGAAAAAAATGCAGATATTCTTTTGAATCACCATCCCTATGACTGTTCAATTGATCTTCATGTATGAGTATAACCTCTATTTGGATCAATCTATAAATTATCACAAAATAAATTGACCAAACTCAAGGAGTATATTGAAGAAAATCTAGCCAAGAACTTCATACACCATTCCAAGTCTCCAACAGGAGTTCCAATTCTATTTGTTAAGAAAAAAGATGGATCATTGCAGATATGTATTGATTATTAAGGACTCAATAAGATCACTATCAAAAACGGATATCCACTACATTTAATATCTAGACTTTTTAATCAGTTGAATCAAGCTAAGATCTATACAAAAATAGATCTATGAGGAGTATACAAATTTGTCCAAAAGACATGACATTATGAGCATACAATATAATGTCATGTCTTTTGGACTTACAAATGCGTTAGCAACTTTTCAACATGTTATGAATGATGATTTTTGAGATTTTTTGGATGATTTTATTATCTATTATTTAGACAATATCTTGATCTATTCTAAAAATATAGAAAAACATGAACTTCATGTTTGTTATGTCTTAGAAAAATTAAGAGATAGGAGATTCTATGCTAAGTTAGAAAGTGTATATTTCACACTACTCAAGTTGACTTCTTAGGTTACATCATTTCAAATGATAGACTTATGATGGATTCTAAAAAAGTTCAAACTATTATGGATTAGAAGATCCCAAAAATGATTTGAGATGTCTAATATTTTTTGGGATTTGCTAATTATTATCACATTTTTATTAAAGACTTCTCTCGGATGAAGCTCTACTTATACGTTTGACTTGTAAAGACAAACTTCAATAGAATCAAGAAGTAAAAAAAGTATTTGAAGCTTTAAAGATAACTTTTGCTTCTACATCAATTTTCTATCGCATTGACTTCTCTAAGACATTCTTTATGGAAACAAACACATCGGACTTTGTTTTTGGTGCCGTATTATCACAAATGGAAATAGATGATAAACTTCATATTATAGCTTTTCATTCCAAGAAATTTTCAGCAGCCAAGATTAATTATGAGATCCACGACAAAAAACTTCTTACAATTGTGGATTCTTTCCAAGAATAGCATCATTATCTAGAAGGCACTTCTATTCTACTCAGTATTTATACGGATCACAAGAACATCAAATATTTCATATTAGCTCATGTTTTGAATCATTGCTAAGTTCTTTGGAGCACATCTTTGTCAAGATTTCAGTTTAATATCACTTATTGACCAAGAAAAAAACAAGATTTGTCTAATGCCCTTTTCAAAAATTCTTATCTTGCACTTAAAAAAAAACATGCAATTTTTGATTGACAAAGGACAATTTTATTGAAGCCAAAATAATTTCATCTTTGAGCAATGAAATCAACATTGACTATTGGTTCAACTTTCTCAAATAAATTCAACCAAGTATGTCCTCTAATCCTCTTTTTCATGACATCAAGAATACTTCTTCTAAGTCTTGTGATACTTCTAAGTTTGAGTTCAAGAACAACCTACTTTATTTCAAATGATGCCTATATGAGCTAAAAAAAGAAGCACATTTATGTGTTCTTCAAGCACTTCACAACTTTTCAACAATATGACATTTTAGATACAATAAGACTCTAGAGCTAATATCTAGAGATTTTTGGTGGCCGCAAATGTGAAAGGTTGTAAAAGACTTTGTTCAATCATGTGACATATTTTCAAGGTCAAAAACTCCTCAGCATCAATCTTATAGATTTTTTCAACTATTATCTATTCCAGAACAACCATGGTCTTCTATTTCTATGGATTTTATTACGGATCTTCTAGTCTTAGAATCGTGTGATTATATATTTGTGATAGTAGATTGTTTTAACAAAATGGCATATTTTGTACCATGCACAAAATCTATCATAGGTGAAGAAATTACCAAGCTTTTCTTTGATAATATGTGTTGATATCATAGATTGCCAAAAGATATTATATCGGATAGGGAGACTCAATTTGTATCAAGATTTTAGAGAATTCTTTTTAAGATTTTAAAGGTGGACATAAAGCTTTCTTCGACCTTTCATCCTCAAACTAATAGATAGATAAAGTGTATAAACCAAGTTTTCAAGCAATACTTAAGGTGTACCATCAATTATGAACAAGTCGATTGGAGAATCTTCTTGCCATTAGCAAAGTTTTTTTATAATAATACGATGCATTCTTCTATGCAACAAACACTTTTTTTTGCTAATTATGGTTACCATCCACAACTTTATACTTTTGACTTTTCAAAAGTTGATAAATCGTGCAGTAGAAAGTTTGGTAAATTGTTTGTCAAAGCTACATACAAAAATGAAGGTGCAATTAAAAGAAACTCATGAACGATAAAAGATCAATGCGGATGCTTATTAAAAGAAACAACCACAATTCAATGTAGGTGACAAGATATGATTGCTTCATCGTAATATCAAGACTACTTGTCCTTGTGATAAGTTGGACTACCACAAGCTTGGATCTTTTCTTACTTGTAGAGAAATCAATCCAATTGCTCATCGATTACATCTACCAAAGACAATGAAGATCCAACTTATCTTTCACGGGTCTCTTCTTCAACCATATAAGACTATGAATATACTAAGAAGAAGACAAGCTCTACTTCTTCTTATAGAAGTAGACAATAATGAAGAATTTAAAGTAGAAGAAGTTTTAGACTCAAGGCACTATCAAAATAAATTAGAATATCTTATCTATTGGCATGGATATGATATTAGAAAATGTACATAAGAGCCAATAAAGAATCTTGCAAATGCAGCAAAGGTAGTAGAGGCTTTTCATCGATGACATCCATCTAAATCAAGATGAAGAATAGTAAGTCTTTGTTATAAAAGAAACAAGGTCAAAAAAAATTACAATTTATCTTCTATCATTTTTTGTAGCTTCTATGTATTTATGACGATGAAGAGATGAAGAATCAACAACCAACAGATTCAACTTAAGAGCTTTCATTTGCAGACTTACCAAATGAGACATTATGATTGTCACAACCTTTAAGATGATGAAATTGAGATGAAGATCCTCAAGAACAACATGTCTTTCCTCGAATAGATGGTGAGATACAATATGTTTGATATCACAACCTTCAAAGAGACTCCCGATGTTTGGTAATTTTATTAGAGGTAGGAATAACTTTTGATAGTGTTTGAAATGTTTTATTTTAATAAAGTTACAAAGGCCTCAACAATGATTAAATAACATGGTGGCCTTTTTACCCTGGTATGAGATACTATTAACAACTGAGAGGGCCTATCAACTATCTTCAAAGAGAACAAAGATTGGAGTATGTGGCAAATACAATTTGCCGCATCTTAGATTTCCTCAACATATGAAGACCACTCCTTACGGAACTCGTCCCTAGAAGAGAAGATAATGTCATGGACACATACATGTAAACCAATAATTACTTATATGATTTAGATAATAGTAGGTAAAAGTAAGTCAATTCTATAATATCTTCTATAGAAGCTTTCTAGAAGCTATATAGACATTGTTTTGACTTTATATGTGTCTTTAATTGACTTTTTAGATTAAAAACATGATAAAAAAGTTGGCCATGTACCACACATGTTGGTAGCTTGAAGAACAAGCTAACTATATGGCCCACACGTAGAAAACTTACCTTGTAAGCTAAGGCATGTATCTTGCAAAGTCAATTTATATGAAAGGTCCTATAAAACATCACCATGTAGCTCTTAATTAGATATTATATATAGAGGCAAGAGTGAAGCCTTCTTCACTCTTGTCAAGTCCTTTCTTGCTTCTAGTCTAGATTTAAGAGTCTCTAGTTTCTTTGTCATTTGGCAATAGCCATTCCAGTTTCTTTTTAAAATACATACTACTTTATTTCTATTTTGCTACTTTTTTGTTGACATAGATTTTCCAAGTTTATGTATCTTCTTACAATTCTTATCCTTGACAATTATAGGATTGATGAATTTATTTTTGATATAAAAATATTTTTATTTTCAGAAATAATATTAAATAAATATAATCTTTTAAAATTTGGTTTATTATAAGAATTACATTTTTATAAGTTTAGTCATTTACTACTACATGATTGTTTTTAAAATATATTCTTTGTCCTTATTACATGGCTCTATTAAAATAGATTATATAAAGTATAACCTTTGAAGTGCTAATATAGATGGCATAGTAGATTCTATATTTATAAAGTAATATAAATTAAATTGAGCTTTTGTTTAGCTAAAATAGGTTTTTGTTTATTAAAAAATTTATTATTTTTACTTTATTCTAAAAACAACTTACATGAATTTATATCCTATCTTTAAAAAAGAATTTTTTCTTGTTGAATACTTATATCAATTTTTTATTCTTTTATCAAAATTTACTTGATTTTATGTTATGATCTTATAGATTGGTTTTTTCATTTTTAAAAAAACAATAAAAAAAAAAATTAGGTTTTAGTATTTAGAAATAGTCATCTCAGTGTCAATTTCCATGTAAAACTTATAAAAAATCATAAACTAATCCTTCAATTCAATCATTAAAAACATTAAAATAATTTTTAATTTACTATTTTTGCATTTCTTTCATTCCTTTCACACTAATCTGGTATCCTCATACTGCATACTTATGTGATACATCGAATAATTTGGATTTGATGCAAAACTTAATTATCAAAGTAAAAATTAGTTATACTTTTTCTTAATTTATTACTTTGATTTTTATAAACTTACAAAAAAAATTAAAAAATGATTAAACAAAAAATTGTGTATATCCAAATTTATAAGATTTTTCTGTATGATTTGCATCATACCTCATCTTCAATACACATCATACAAAGTATATGATTCTTGACTATACAGTAAAGCGCTTGTAAATTCAAACCAGATATATTCTCAGATGAAGTCACTAAAGAACCCTAATGAACCCACACAAATTATTCACTAAATAATTTTATGGATCCAAAAATGAATTCCTTCATTGAAACAGAAGAAACAATAAGAATGAACCTGCAACACTGAAACTAACTAACTAACTAACTATATACATCAAGAGTATACCCAGGATTGTGAAAGAATAGACCTAACTTATATATACATACCCTCAACATACTAATACATATTAATACAACATTTTTATATCAATACATACTAGTATACGAAGGGTCTACACTAATACCGACAAACTCCGATCACGGTCCGAAACGATCATCGATGAGCGAGCCGCAGACGAATCCAAGAGGGATTCACAAATGCTTGGAGAGCGGGGACTTGCGGGAACGATCTGGCAAGACCGAGGAGGACACAGGAGAATTGACGTCGCAATTGAGATTATCCTGCATGAGATAGAATTCTGCGTCGGTATGAGCGACGTCGCCGACGAGGCTGCGCTTTAATGGGATCGGTCCAAGTCTGATCGCGTTCACGTAGTTTATGGGCCAGTGCGCAGCGACACCGGGGAAGATCACCCCCAATGCTCGAATCAGAATCGAGAGGTTGTTTTCCTTGAATGCATTGCCATACTCCGGGCACGCAATAAACATGGCATGGAACAGCTCCCAGGCTGCGTTGAGGTGCTTAGTGAGCAGGTTCCTAACGCTGAAGAAGTTCGGGTTCGGCACTTCCTGCACCACCATCCCGTCGTAGCAGCTGTTGAAGTACTGGCAGTCGCCGAGATGCTTGAAGGCGAACAGCTTGTTGTCGAAGGGCACACGGGGGACTAGGTCGTTGCAGTATACCACGCGGAAGTATCTGCCTTCGAGCTTCTGTTTGAAGTAAGTTGCAAAGTTAAGGTCGCCGACCCGAGGCTGACCGAACGTGTACACGGCTTTGATTTTGCTGGCGACCTCTGTCTGTCCGGTGTAATGCAGCATGGCGGCATACAGCACTGCCAGGGCGCCCCCGAGACTGTGACCCGTGATGTACAGTTTCGCATTGGGGTTGTCGTGCAGGATCAATGCAACTTGCTCCGTGATGTGGTCGTAAGCGAGGATTTTCTCCGAGTCGGCGATGATTGTGTCGGCGAGGCCGGAGGTCGGCAACGTTGCATGGATTTCCGATTTGGTTCTGTGGTGTGGGCTCGGTGGCAGGTTGTTGGCGAGAGCCTCCTGCTGCTCTTTTATTTTGGTTTGGTGCTTAGTGGACTGGGCCTTTTTGTTCATCTTCACGAATGTATCGATGGAGTCGCGAGTCGCGAGGCCGAGGGCTTCCAGAAAACCCAGGTGCACTCCCCCTAGCCCCTCCAAGGTAATGAAGGAGAAGTCAAAATCGGTGCTCCAGTCGTAGGCATTGAATGCCTCTGTGCCGCGAAATGCCACCACCACGGCGTTCGCGTCCGTAGGCTTGTCCATGACCACATATGCCTGTGTGTTCTTCATGTTTTGGTACTCTGCAAGATCGGAATCATTTTAAAACAGAATGAGTTGGGTTGGCAAGAATAAATATCAAAGCTTAGTGCGCATTCGAGCAAATTGGCGTGAGGTATATTACCGTTCCAGCAGTTGTAGAAACCGTGAAGATGCATATTCCAGTTCTGTTCCACGACCTTCTTGATTACTGCAGGATTCTCGTAAGACAGCTTGGCTGCCATGATGCACATGTCGGCGGTAGAGCGCGATCCGGCATCCTCAGTGGGGAACACCTCGACTTCAGCTTGAGCGCTGCCTAGTTTGCCAGTGTTAGATGCGTTGATGAGCAAGTCGACCCGGGGATCTGACAGTCCGAGGATGCTAAAGTAATTCTCCGAACCCACAACTGGATAGACGATATCACCCCAGTTGAGAAAAATTATCCTGGACAGAAGACCGAGCACACCATTGTTGAGAGCTAGGAGGTTCGTGGTCCACTCAATGATCAATCCTACCAGTTGGAGTGCTGAGAAGGACTTCCATAAAATGCAAACCAAATACATGGAGATCTTCTGCTGCCACGTTGTGTGTTTGTTGCCCCTGGATTCTACAGTGGTCGGCTGCCCGTGCTTGATAATCTCCTTCAACGCGGACTTCTGCGTGGTCAGTTTGGGGTGAGCAGCCATGTAAACAGGTGGTTCCTCAGTCGATGTGTTGTGGTCACAGCCGCTTCCGTTCACTTTCGCCATCGATTCCAACGCACCCTTCATACTTAATCCTGTACTCGTTGGCTTCAACCCTATTTGGCAAAACGCGAAATATGGAACTCGTAAACTGTGAAAGGTTCCGATACTGCTAGTACTCGGCCTCTTACGCGCAGAAACGGATGAAATCTAAAATCCCTTATGGACAGCGATCAGTCTAATTTTCATGCATTGCGATAATGGTCCACTACTTCGGAATGCAGCGTCACCCTTGAACCGACACGTCCAACATTCACTCCCTAGGTGACCCACCCGCTTTGAGTCACCTTCAGATCAACACCAGAAGATGGGACGACCGTGTTCGAGATCAGGTAACCGCCAATCGAGCTGTCTGGTTGAAACAATTTCTAGTGATCAATGACGAGTGATGCTCACCCTTACCAGATGCTCATGCTTATATACAGTAGCGAGGGCACCGTTCGGGAAACCCAAGGCCTTGCTGGGCAAGATCATTGCACCCACCAAGTATCTGTTTCTAACTAAATCCTGAAAAAGAAAGAATCTTACTGGGCTCAACAGTCTCCCATGTGCTTGTCCGGTCAACCATCTCAGACCAGTACTCCCATCCCGCAGGGATGTCTGCAAATCTCGTCCTCTCCACGAACTTTCAAGGCCCCTCTGCCTCCCTCCCCCCACGTCAATCGACGTCTACAGTACGAAGAATTTTCGATGTGGACAGAGAACCGCAGGGATGCGTCCGAACTGCAGGATTCCGACTTCTTACCGAAACGCGTCACCATGGCGTGTGGAAAATCAACCCCATTCAAACCCCAAGGAATTCAAAGGCGAGTGGTGGGTACGCCCCGAAAATAGCGCCACGTGGGTTTGGACGAGGGAGATCTCAGGCGCAGCCCAGTGATATCACGTTGCCCATCCGTGCAACCTGTACCCCTCCTCCCTCCTGCAGCAATCTTCTGCCTCTTCTTCCCCCACCCCGAGGAAGGAAACAAACAAAAAATCAAAAAGTCTTGTCAATACGAGTATAATTCATTACTGCCGACACGGCCCATTGACTGACTGACTGACTGACTGACTGACGCACTCCGCATTCCTCAAAGCCGACGCATGGATGGATGAATATATGTCTGAGTGGATGAATAGATGGATTAATTGGTGGATGGATGATTGGATGAAAGAATGTGAAGTGGTGCAGATGTAGATGCTTGTTCATTCAATAATTCATCCGTGGAAAATCCCTCAGACTGACTCACTCCCCCACCTTCGACCACATTTCTATTTGTTTGGGAGATTGTTGATGTTGTTTCTGACATTCTATGTATGTAAATGGAAAAAGGATTTTTTCTGAGTAATTGACTATTTCATTCTTTGTTTGATTTTTACTCCTTTTTGTATGTATGATGGATGTGTATAGTGTACTTTATACTTGGGGTCTCTATATAGGGTCTATATACTTAGGCAAAAATAGAAAAAAAGGACCTAAGTTATTCGAGTTTTTGATTGAAAGAGAGAGAGAGTGAGAATTTTTAACACTACATCTTTGATTGATATTGTTACATTCCACGTGACCTCTATATGATTTGAATTGAATAAAAAGCAAGTTTCGTAGCCCAATATTGACTCAAAAATAGAATAAATCAAAAAAGAAGTTTTTGGTAGCCAATTTTAAAAATAAAATAAATAGATGAACAAATTTTAAAGAAAATATTTTTTTCTTTTGACAAAGGCTGCATAATACTTGTTTTTCCATAAAATATTCATTATCTCCCTTTGAACCACTATTGTCTATTAAAAAAAATAAAGAAAAAAAATGCAAAAGAAAGAAGCATATTATCAGCCTATTATCTACAACAAGGTCATGTGGGGTGTAGATTTTTGAAATTTTTTGTAATTAAAAAAATTAAAATTTTATTTTTAAAAATCAAATCAATCATATATATTTTAACTTCTCAACTACATTATTTGATTAGAAAAATATATAAGAAATAAATTTGTATAGAACAAAATAGGGTTTAGATGAAAATAAAGATACTAAATAAAAGAATGATAACCAAAAAATAATATGTACTATTATATATTATAATAAAAAATTAAACTTTAAAAAAAAATTGCTATCTAATTGAAAGAATTGTATTATTTTAGAACTATTGTTGTCTGTTTCCAAAAGTTGAAGCTGCCAAATGTTTATTTTTCTCTAAAAGGTTGAGAGTACAAGGAATTAATTTAGTCAAATTCTTTTAAATTAAACTTTTGTATATAAAATCTCTTTAATATAATTTTATTCAATTCAAACTATTTTTTGGAGTTTTACACTATTTTTTCAACTTTTACATTGATTTCCATGTGGAAGATTTATATTTAAATACCACAAAAGATCAAGAAAAAAATTATACTTGTGTGCATAATGTATATAAAGTCTTTCAAGACCTATATTAGAAAATCTTAAACTCCACAAATATCAGTGATTAATATCAAGGAAATTTTTTTTGATTGTTCTTATTTGAAGTTGAAATCATATCAAATTTATAATTAGAAATAGTAGTTTTATAATGACAATGTGTTCCATGACATATAAAATTTACATATTTATGATTTTGTTTAATTATTTTAATTTCCTCTTTGGTTGTGTATATATAAATATATATTAGTCCTAAAACTATATAGTTTGTATGAATATTTTGAGATATTTTTAGGTGTTAACAGGTGTAAAAAAATTAAAGTCAACATTGTAACATTTTAAAATTTTTTTTGCACTTAATGTATAAATTAACGAAATTTTATTCAAATAGGTCCTTTATCAAAAGCATTTGGCCTATTGCAAGTATTACCATTCAAACTAGAATTATAGAGTTGTATTTTTACAAATTTTATATTGATATTTGGTATTAGAATAATAATAATAATAATAATAATAATAATAATAACAATCATTCAAAAGATTTTATATCAATATTTAAAGAAATATATGTATTCAAATTAAGAGGATTATATGAAATAAGAAAATCAAGTAAGATTATGTATAATGCAACATGTTACTTGACAATCAAAATAATTTGTTATTTAAAATGACTTATGGAATAGAACCAACTTAATTTATAAACTTAATAATTATCAAAAAATATGAGATATATATTGCTATAGGATAGAAATATAATGATATGAAATACATATGAATTCACTATCCAATCATTCAAGATGTAAGAGAAATAATTGCTTGAATTGAGTTTTGGATTTTAATTCTTATAACACAATTTTGTGATCTATTGACAAGGTCTTTTTAGTACAAATAGACTATTAACTAGCTTAATTGCTGAAGTACAATGAACATGTGGATTCATGTCTTGTTAGACTACATGACAACTTGGTAGGTGGCAATAGCTATATGTTGATTATTAGCTAATATAGCAACTATAAATTATGAATTGATAACATGGTTCAACTATTCACATAAGTGATCATATAATATTTAATAAAAATTATACATATATATAAATACTCTTTTAATACTTTTACTTAATGAAATACAAGATTAATTTAATTTAATTATTTGCATCATCTTTTTAAATTTATAATGCTTCTTATAAATTAAATCTTTAATCAAAACATCCACAATCATATCTTTAGCCCTACAAAAAACTAAATTGATCTTGTTATTCTCAATCTTATCACAAACAAAGTGATATTGAATTTTAACAAGCTTAGTACAAGTATAAAATGTAAGATTTATTGAAAGAATAATGTAACTTTGGTTATTATTAAAAATAGTCATAAGACTATCTTGTAAAAGTTCAATAACTTTAAATAACTTATAAAGTAAAATCGCTTCTTATGTCACATAAATAATTTTCATGTATTCTATTTTGATGATAGTTAAAGCAACTATTGGTTGTTTTATAATTTTTCAATTAATAACATCACTAATCAATAAAAATACATAGAGAGTATTAAAATAATGAGTGTCAATATCTCCCTCATAATTTACATTACAATAATCAATTACTTGTAAACTTAAAGATCTTCTACTATTTTATAGTATATGACACAATATGGCTTTTAAATATCAAAAAATCTTTTTAATGACAATCTAATATTATTGATGAAGATTTGCCATGTATTGATTATATTTTGAGAGACAAGTTCTTATAAAAGAGGCCAAAGATGAAGAATATCGTACCATTGAGAGGTAGATGATATAAAAATTAAGAATCAAATTCTCGAAGAATTTCATGGTATACTTTGGACACGCCTTAGAGGAGTTTGGGCCACCTAAGATAAGATTAAAGAATGATATTGATAGAAGGGCCTTTTATAAAGATGTAAAAGAATTTGTAGCTTCTTGGACTAAATACCAATTAGAGTCCAAAGTTAGATTCAAAGATGAGTTACATCCTATCTATCCACTTGCTATGCATTTTTAATGGGTGATTGACTTAGTAGCTATACCATTAGGATTATGGAGCATGAAGTATCTTATTTTGGTAAGAGAAGAGTTGACAAACTATGTTGAAGGGAGAGCTTTGAAGACCAAAATCATAGAAAGAATGTGTAGATTTACTTGCATGATATTTTTAGTAGATATGGCACTATTAGAAAGATGAGGGCTCATTGATGAGAATTGGATATAATAGAAGTCAAAGATTTTTTTAAAAGATATAATATAAAGTTGAAGCTAATAATTGCTTATAATTATGAAGCTAATGGAAAAAGTGAGAGAGGCCAACCTCCCATCATTAATACTCTTATCATGGATTGCAAAGATAAGCCAAAATAATGGCCAAGACTTCTATCATTTGCTTTATGGATAAATAGAACCATTCATTGCATTGTTACTAGTTATATACTTATTGAATTAATGTTGGACTAAAAATCAATCATACCTAAGAAAGATTTTATCTCTACTTAGATATTATTGGATTAGGAGGATGGTATCATGAGAGAGAGATTATTGGAGCTCCAGATTTAGCAGCTTAAAAGTTTACTTGAAGATTAAGAGATGGCATTAGCAAAATTAAAGGCTACCAAGTTGAGCAACAAAGAGAGGTTTGACAAAATCCATCATTTGAGATCCAAATCAATTTAAATTGGAGATTAGGTGTTAGTATTTCATAGTAGTTTAGAATATCAACATAGCATTCTTAAGAAGTTTGCTCAAAGATGGTTTGCACCATATATGATAGTAGCACTGTATAACAATGCTTCCTATTTACTTTGTGAGTTAAATAGTATGATGTTAAAGATACTTGTGGCTGAAAAATGAATCAAGGAATTCAAGACAAGAGATAGAAAATTTATTTCAATTAATCTTTTAGATTTTGAAATATTAGATTTGAATCAAATAGAAGATGCACAAACAAATGGAGATGATGAAGAAGACAAGCATGGTTAGATTGAGACATGCTGCAGAATGTATAAGTTTAGAAGAGGTAGATGTCATGCTAAAAAATAGAATAATATGTAAAAATAAGATAAACTATTATGAAAGTTTGAATTGTAATTAAAAAATAAA